ATAATATATTTTTGTCCTCTGTATTACTTCCTTTCATCCAGAAACCCTATATCATGAATTATAAGCAAACTTATAACGAACATGCTTTTTTAACTACTGAAAGCAATAACGAATAGCAGCAACTAAATCAGGTGCATTATCAAAACACGAATAAGACACAATAAAAAGTGAATGTTGACATATCTTAGCCTAGTTCCCGAGCGATTGTACACATACTAGACTGTTTTTTTATTGATTTTCTAGGGACATCCAAAACACGTCTAATAAACTTCTTTGAACCATTTGTGTTCTTCTTAAGCTACCTAAATAGCTTATAAACAGAACAATATAAAGATGCACGATATAATAACCTAAAATATACCTCTATTGATTTTTCTTAACACATTTAATACAGGTTTTTGTTTAATGAAGTTGTGCCTCATATTATATCATAAGCATCAGAAGAAAATCATTGGCATCCAGAAACATGTTTTTGATATCAAGAGGCACAAGTAAGAAGGGTAGATTGGCTCAACATGTTATTTAGAGGAATTTACAAAAGTATCATAAGTTTTAAGACGGCGTGTAACTCTATTTTAAAGGTGATAACGTGTGTGTTATTTCATTATTCTGATACCTATCTTATATAATACGCTCACTATATAACTATTTTGTTAAATATCATACAAATTATATTGCTAAGCCATAAAAATCAAATAAGTATACAAGATATCATCTTTCACCATTACTTCTTTCTGAAATTATTCACTATTCCCTACCATTTTTGTGATTCTCCCTTTCTTTTTCCTTATCAATATTACTGCCACTATCGATATTATTACAATTCCCACAATAACAGATACAACGATCAGTATTGTTTTGGTTTTCTTTGGTTCCTCTTTTTTTACTGTGACTTGCTTTGTGGTGTCCTGCTTTGATTCTTCCACATTTGCTTTTTCTTTCTTTGCTTTCTTTTGCTTTCTTTCTTCTTCTTTCTTTGCTTTCTTTTGCTTTCTTTCTTCTTCTTTCTTCGCCTTCTTTTGCTTTCTTGCTTCTTCTTTTCTTTCTTTTTCTTTCCTTACCTCTGTTATTTCTTTGGGTATTTCTACCACATATTCTTCCAGGTCTTGTATTATTTGTTCTTCATTCTTTTTTCTTGTTACCTTAATTATTTCAGACTTCATCTGTTCATTTCCGATTGTAAATACAAAATATGTGTAAGCAGTGGTAACATCCATACCTTCTCCGCATGTAAAATGTGAAGCATATGGTAGTTTCTGGACATGCTTTTTCAGTTTTTCTAACCTTTCTTCAGCTTTTAACTTGCAGTCACTTCCAATTTTGGTTGTTATCTTTATTGTTTCTTCATACAGTAAATAATCCAAGAAATATTCCCCCGCTTTTGATATTTCTGCTTGCTCTTTTAGTTCTTTTATCGTTGCCTTTAAATCATCTTCAGTCACCTTGTCATTTTTGTAGAAGTTAATAATGTTCTTTTTCAGCCCTTTTTCACCTGGGTTGCATTTTGTCACTAAATTAACAATAATGCTGTGTATCTCATCTCTCATTGTATATGCATCATCAAATGTAAGTTGTTCACTGTGTGTACAATCACAATAATTATCTATGTGCATCGTCTCAATTTTCACTTTACCACTGCCCCTTGTAACATCAGGAAATATCAACAGCTTCTCTAGATATTTTTTGGTGGGTCCCATTGTTTTAGCATCTTTTAACTTATCGTATTCAGTCTTGATTTGTTTATATTTCTCATCTTCACCGCATTGTATCATAGCAATATATAACATCCTTAACCAAACAACTAACATCCTATATTACAGGGGCAATTAAGGAAAGTTTTTAAATAGTCGTTAATTGATATGTCAAAGTACACTAGTATTCTTTTGCGTAATTCATTATACTGGATAAGAGCAATTAGTTATTCGTAAGATCACTAAAAGTGTCACTCCTATCAAACACTAAGTATAATAGAACTGATATTTTGAGAACTCCAAAAATGAAACTAGACTCTTCAACAAGCAATAGTGTTCACTCANATAACATCCTTAACCAAACAACTAACATCCTATATTACAGGGGCAATTAAGGAAAGTTTTTAAATAGTCGTTAATTGATATGTCAAAGTACACTAGTATTCTTTTGCGTAATTCATTATACTGGATAAGAGCAATTAGTTATTCGTAAGATCACTAAAAGTGTCACTCCTATCAAACACTAAGTATAATAGAACTGATATTTTGAGAACTCCAAAAATGAAACTAGACTCTTCAACAAGCAATAGTGTTCACTCACCCTCATTTAATCATCAAGCAAGTACTTTCTAAACTCACTATTTGCAACAACTTAAAATAGCTACAAATTCTATCATTAAGTTCAGGTTGAGCTATGTCCATTACTTCTTTAATGATCCTATTGAATTCTAGGAATTGATATTTCGTTTCCTCAGGTTTAATCAAATCTAATTCATGTTGCAACATTGCTTCAATAATGACATCTTTACACACTTTGAATCCATCTGGTGACTCGTGAGATTTCCCAACTTTTATAATTTCTTTCAAAGTATCATGTCTCCACTCTTCAAAATGGTTCATGTTCGTAAAATCAGTTAGAAACAACTTTGTTAGTATCAGGTAACAGATCAGCAGGGACCGGTCTAATCTTAGGATTATTGGAAGCGTTGGATTTACTCATAGAACCGATGGATTTACCCAATCTGTTTGTTTATATATTTTGTTGGTAAACAAAGTCTATTGATCTAACTTTCTTGTAGCCTGCAATCGTATAACATGTATGCCACGTAACAGTCTTAACTATACCTAACTGAGCAAAAATTGATTCAGATTAAAGGTTTTCACTTTATCAAGACCATAATTTTGTTAAATATTGTTTCTGCTTTGAAGAATATGCCATTGCACTTCATATATCCTTTTTAACTAATAATTGCAGGAAAAAGAAAGATACTACAAGATTATGCCATAAAAATACAGTAAGGTTCATCAATATCACTTTTAATACTGTTTGAATCGGTGAAATAGTCCATTTATTATTCTTTTCAATGGAAAACAGTAACATATTCTCTATTTCCCATTGATATACTTAACCAGTCCTCATTTTACTGTAAAATTTATTGTTTAAAATCACAAAAATTATGTTTTTCTCTTTATAAATACCTCTATAATCATTTTATTACCATCAATTACACTACTTCAACTATATTTTCAGCACATTACTACAGTTAAAAGGTTCTCACACTATAAACCATCCTCTCCTTATACTTTTCAATAGACTCCTTTTATTCCATTCTCCTCTCTCCTTAATGATTGACCTAATAAAAGACTACACATTAACTGGTCTAAGTACTCTCTTATCACACACAACCAATGAAACAGGCATTACCTTGGACTTCCTAACCACTGCTTACTCACTTTACGATGAAACAGATATCACTGGTCTCCAATCATCTCTCACAATCACATCACTCGTTCTAGTTGGCCTCCTCATCTTCGGAATGTTCTTCTTTGGTCTCAGATTCAGAAACTTCTTTGGATTCATCTGCATGAATTTCATTCTAATGAATATTTTCAATGCCGTGGTTTCATTGGTTCATGAAAAGACCAGCACTCCCAAATCAGTTGACTATTTGCACAGTTATAGACCAGGATACTATTATTGTAAGGAATCAACCAAATTAAAAGAAGGTGATCACATCACAAAAGACCTGATTGAAGTAGTACAGAATAAAACAAGGATGATGCTTCAATCTGACAATATTGATCAATATCTCAAAGAGAATGAAACAAGCCTAGTTGTCAAACAGCTTGTGATGATGTTTGGTGCTCTACTTCTTACAACTGTGATCATGATCAAAACCAAATCAATGATTCCAGTTGCAATATCTGGATCAATGGCAGTTGGAATCAGACTGTTTTACGAACTATCATTTAGTGATGAACCTGGTAAGAGACTTGTTATTGTAGCACTAACACTTGTTATTGTATCAGTAATATGCTGTTTCATAGACCTGGCCATGAACACCTTGCTACTCCTCATGTTTGCATTCACATCATCATTCACAATACTGTTATTCACAGGAGTAACAGCAAATCAGGTTGAATTCACTAATGGATTATGGTTCAATATCTTATCATATGATCATTTGATGAAACAAGGAATAGAATTCAACTACAACAAGTGGCTTATAATACTGGGAATATTGACTATGATCAGCATATTCTTCAATATTTATACAGCAAAGAGAACTAAGAAGAAAACCCCATTAAGAAAGTGATCAAGTGTGTAGTAAACTGGTTTCTCCTCTTTTTATCCTAATTCTTTTTATTCCAATGCCCCTGGGATGTTTGAATCTGACACATTGCTCTCTGATGCCAAGAAGGAAGGAATGAAATATATCACACAGTCTGTCTACGCCATTCTGAAGGAGAAGAAGGAGGCCACGTACCAGCAGATTGTCCAGGAGATCAACACGACGAACATGGAGACGAAAGTGAGACGCATCTACGACGTGTTAAATGTCCTCAGGGCTGTCAACGTGATTGGTAAAAATGGGAAGATCTATTTCCTGATTGAGGATAAGGAGAATGTAAATAAGAAAATAGAGGAGCGAGACAGACTGCTGCAGATGAAGGAGGCATTTGAGTTCATCACGACCAAGAACAGACACAATAGGCCACTTGGGGCCGATGAGAAGCTCTACCTTCCCTTTATGATTGTGTCGACTGAGACGTGCTCTGAAATCCATTGCGACACGAATGAAGAACGAGACTACTTCCTGTTCAGGTCGAATAGGCCACTTAAGATCCACGAGGACCTCGATATCCTGCGCCTCCTGCAGGAGACCAAAAACAGGTCGCAGGACAAAAAGAAGCTCAAGAGCCTCTTTCTGGGAGACTTCATGTTTTGAAGGGTGTTTTACGTATCATGGCCCACTCCTGATTTTCAGTTATTTAGGCTGAAACATAAGTTTCAGTCTCTTTATAAATTGTGCTACTGTTTGACAGTATGTATGCAAATATATACACGGTACTGTCTCTGATTAGTGCAGCAGCACCACTGGGAGCCAGCCAGACGACGGCAGCGCAGTGCAACAACGCGCCTGAGATCGAGAAGCTGCTTCAGGGCCTAGGCGGATGCATTCCCACTTCACAGAATGGGACAGGGCAGAGTGGATCTGATAAGCCACAATGCTACCTGACAACGAGCCTGGACTGCCCAAAGGACGTCACTGGCCAGGACCAGCAGCCAACTGGGCTACCAAGTGGAACACCAACTCCACCACCAATGGGATTCCAGTCACCAGACCAAACAGCTGGGCAAATGCCATTTAACTATGCACCAGTGCAGCCTGGATCAGGAGCCAGCCCAAGTGGATCGCCAATAATGCAGCCAGGCTCATCTGGTGGATTTGTGATGCCACAGCCTCAGGCAGGATTGCAGCAGCATCTTCCGATATGTCCACCAGGCCAGACGTCCAATCTGCCTGGATTGAACGGATACTCGGACTGTGTTACAGCAGCAACAATGAAGCAGCCTACAATTAAGCTCAACAACATTGAGGTGCCTATTAATCCATATGTTCCACCAGTGGTGCAGTCGTGTGCTCCAAACGCAAAGGTCTGCAAGAAGTAAGCAGTAGAATAATAAAGAAACGAGAAAAACATCTTATCCTTCTTATTGTAAAATAAGATACTTTCCTGACTACTGTAAATATAAATAGAATTACGAGGGTGTTTAAATGACTATTATGTGACTACCCCTAGTTATCCATCTCCTACATAACTACCCCTAGTTATCCATCTCCTACATAACTACCCCTA